TTTTATGTGTTATGCGTTATACAAAAGTCTGTGCTTCTCGCTTTATGGCCATTCTAGGCTACGTTTCAAAACTTCCTCTCCGAGAAAAAATTTTACTTGAAATATATAATACACGTAATGTATATTATAGCATACAGAGTAAAATTTTCCTTGGAGAGGAAATTTTGGAATGTAGCCCTACAATAAGCCATTAGTTATAAATCAGAAGTTAGAAGTTGGAAATTGACGACTGTGGTCAATTTTCAGCTTCTGATTTATGACTAATGGCTTATTGTAGAATGCGTATTAGAATTATCTGGGCGTACGTCTGGATCTACTAAAAGTGTTTTAAGCTTTAAGCCGTAAGAAATTGATCAACTATAGTCGAATGCGAGAAGAATAATTGATTGTGATTCGTCCATTTGTTATGACTTAAGGCTTAAAAATCTATTGTAGATCCGGGGTAATTCTTGAACGCATCTCTGAGGTGAGACAAATTAAGCATGCTCTTAATTGATTCATGGAATATGCTCTAAAGGTGCATTCACATGCAAGCGTCAAGCAGCGGAAGCAGCAACCAATCAGTTCGGCGATACGGGCAGTGGTGTAAAAAATATTTTTTTTGCTGGGCTCATATGGGCAATAGCGCTTTGACACAGAGCGCTGATTGTTGAAAAGCCGGTTGTGGAGATAAAATTTACCTTCATTATCCGTTTTTCATCAATCAGCGTTCGGTGTTAAAGCGCTTTTGTCTGTGTAACGTCCACCGATAAAATAAACGCGAATGTACTTCTACTTAGCTTTAAGAGCTGGTGCACTCTGGTGAATATAACATTACGTTGACAACATAAAATAGCTATAATAAATGGAATATTGCCATGATTACGAAAATATAACTAATGTAACACAATATATAATTAACACAATATCTATAATATTTAGTACAATAGTTATACTTCCATTTATTTTCATTTTCTTTTCCTCAATTCGATTTCCTTAATTAACAACAAATAAAAGAAGAAAAAGGGAACTAGTTAATAAATGGATACTATAACGCATTGCATAACAAAAATGCTAAAGACTAAAATATAATAATTTTCAAATATTGAACGTCCAATGTTATTGCTCACAGAAATATATATATATATATATATATATATATATACATATATATATAAATTTATACTTTTCTATATATATAACAATATATTTCTATAATCTTGAGAGATCTAAGTTAATAAATAATTACCAAATAGTAATAAAATAAATAACAATAAATGAAGGGCGAAGTAAGAGTCAGCGCATTTCTTTGAAAAGTCATATAATTAAAGACATAAATTAAAAGTATAGAAAACATAAAAAAAAGGAAGAAAAAATGTATACTAAGAAATAATAACGGTGAAAAAAAACATATAACATTACAAGTTTTGGCTACCGGATTGAGCCCTCTTCAGATGTTAACATAATGGAAACAAAATTAAAAAATAATTATCGCAAAAGTTTATAGATAAAGAATACACGCAGTTCGGTTGAGTCTCGATGTAGAACTCGACATTATTCGTACGATTGAACAGTCAAAAAAGTGTCTCATAGCAAAGTTCTAGTTGAAAAGAAAAAAGAAAAAGACCTCTTATGAAAAAAGTAAACTTAAATAAATTGACAACCGTAATTATGATAAAAAGTAACAACTCATTAACAAACATATGTAAAAGGTCAAAACTAATGTATCCATATAAGTATAACAAATACCAATATAAAAGCATAAAGAAGAGTGGAATGCAGATGTGAAAAAACGGACATTGTGTATCGATTAATGTGAACGCTCGCTGAAACGAATCACCACGCACTGAGAGAGGAGACGGGCCGTCAGTATCAAAAAAGTCAAACTTTATTTACAATGGGTAACTTTATTTTACAATGCCTTATGAAGACCTTCAGTGTCCGTTTGTAAATTAAGACTGTTTTTCTACTTCTTGATATTGAACATCTCGGAAATTAGACATTTCCTGTAACAAGGCTCTTCATCTAAGATTTTAACGTTGTCCCATTGGAAATCGTGATGACATTGTAGCCTATGTTCAGTGATGAACGGACAGAAGTTTTATGCCTGATATGATTACGATGTTCAGTAATTCTGGTTTTCAATTGTCTGCCCGTCTGTCCAACATAAGACGCATCGTAATTGTTACACGATATTTTATATACTACATTGCTCTTCGATGTATGAGGACAAATGTCCTTCTGTACTTTTATATATTTACCCATTTTATTGGAACTGTGAAAAGATACCCTGATGTCGTTTTTATTAAATCTTCGAAATTTCTCCGTGTGACGAGGAATACTCGTATATGGAACCGTAAGCCAAAAAGCAGTTTCATTCACACAGACTTTGTCAGTCAGATCATTATGTACTTTATATCTATTTTTAATTAAATTTTCAGTAAATTGAAGGCGGATGGAAAGAATTGAATTGTTCTAATAAAACATCGATTTTAGAGGGAGGCACCGCGATATCATCAACATATCTATAATAAAACAAAATGTCCAAGTTCAACGACATCAAGGACACCGTTTCCATTTTCATTACTAAGTCCGTTATTACCGGTGATAAAGGAGAGCCCACAAAGATGTCGAAGCTTTGCTTATAAATTAAATTGTCAAAAGAAAAAAAGATTGAATCTAAGACAAACCGCTCCCAAAAACTCATTCTTGGGCAGAGAGCAATCCTTGAAAATGAAATTCCATTGCTCGTTCACACAATCGACCGCTACATCCATTGGAACATTCGTGAAAAGGGAGGTCTCATCTAAAGAAATTAGTTCATGTGCACCTGTAAAGTGTAACCTTTTCAATTTTTCGACTAATTCGAAGCTGTTTTTGATGTAACTATCCGCTTTCGGAATGGTTTTAAATAGTCTATTATGACCGGCGCCAAGATACTTTTTAACGGTCAAATCGCGGACAATTCTCACGAATCCGTGATCACAAAATCTAAGAAGCAACACGCATTCAGGGATAGATTCTGAGTGGTCTCTGCCGACGCTGCGTTTTCTTGACGCACTGCATATGCGTTTTCCCCTAAATATTAAGATTGTAAAATTAAGGATGACACTTCCATACGCTACAGATTCCGGTCAATGTTCTCTTCCACCCTTGACCAATTACAAAGCAAGAAATAGATCCCATCATCTAATTAATGGACCTATCCACCAATCAGTGCTTAATCAGCACATCCTGGCCGGTGGACTCCCACCAAGCATCTCAATAATAAGTCGATATATCTCTATTTTCTAGTCGCCCTCGCTTTTTCTTTTGGTAATTCATTTTATTATTTCATTTTATTATTTATTTATTTTTATTCTTTTCTTTTTTCTGTCTTTCTCCCTTTTGAGTTCCTATGTAAAAGAAAATAAAACATTGCAGTCTATAATTTCAATCCTTGTCGCTATCGCCTCATGATAATTGCTCGCTCCTGCCGACCAGTTGCTCGTGTCCGCCCGTTAATACTATCATCGTCCGAGGAAAATCCAAAACTGAGAGGCCAAACCCTCTCAGATCCACTCACCAAAACTTCTTTTTCTTTTTATTCCTTAGTTATCCTCTTCGTAACTTATCCCTTCCGTCACATGATACTTTCACACACGCACATAAAAACATACCTAACCAAGATGAAACAAATAAAAAAAATCGTGTAACAAAAATGTATTGCTAAATATTTGTTTTATTATATTATTATTAAATTTAATCTTAGTTTGTTAATTTGAAAAACCTTGTATTTATTGTAAGCTCTCTCGCGATTGCACTTCGGCCTCTCCCCGGTCACTTGAATAAAGTTTCATGACCGAAAGTTAGGGCATACGGACGTACTAGCACATCTGGCATTAAAGTACGCTCTCCCGGCACACTGATCTTTTAAATTAAAAATACGTTCGACTCGTGTGTCCGTTTAACGGAGCACGAGTTGAGATTTTCCACTTCATCCTCCATTTGACCCCCGGCTCGTTAGGAGTTTTAGGACGAAGCGAAGTGCCTCCCGATTTGCGTCGGTCCTTCTCCATAGTTCTCTTGCAGTCCAAAGCTTGGACATGACCAAATCGGTCTAATATAATTCGGTTCCTGTTGCATTCATCCCCTCAGCTCCATGCATGCGGAGCTTGGACATAACAATCAACACAAATATACATTTTTAAGTATTAATATATGTACATATATTTTAAAGATTATAAGACAATAATCGTTATCTTTACTATTGAGTATATCTAAATCACATTTGTCGTCTATTAGTGAAACGTTCCTTTCATTATTCAATCTAACGAAATAGTTTTTTTTTACGTCATTTCAGTATATCTAAAATATATAAATATACAAGATGTCCCACGAGACTTTTTCAACCACCCACAGAAAGATAAATGGGATCAAAATAAACATAAAAGTCCTTTATCATTTAACGATATTTGTAATGTAGCGACACGTGCGCGCGGCGTCGCCCTCAGATATATTTTTCTTATCGAAAGAATAACAAACAATTAATATACGTATATTATGTGTTCTAATGTTCGTTAAATGTTTACAAGTTAAAATAATTAGACCGTCCATGTGAGCGTCACAGACATCCTTTTCACTCGTTCAACTGAACTGCATATTGTTAACATATGCACACATCTTTCTTCTAGCTTTTCGAAATATGAAACTTTGTCGTACCAGACATGCGAGTAATATACCTATGCCATTCAGGATTCTGTAAGCCAAGCAACGATCTGAGGAGTCAGTCTCTTTTTACTCGTCGACGCGAATACACCACGCTTTCGACTTCTGTCTAACAAAATAAAGTACCAGTGTTAGCACCAACCGAGTCGCCGTTATTACCGGACCACTCCTTACCCACATAATTGGTGACCCCGACGTGATCTTGCATGCGTATATCGCGTTTTCCGTAAAGTGCAGTGTGGGTGATTGTGGAAGTGCACCGAAAATCATAAGGACTGACGTTGAGACCCGACCGTAGCCCCTCCGTAGCGATCATGGATAAAGAAAGCGCGGCCGCATCGATCGACCGAGTGGCGACCAGGATTCCGCCGTTCTGGGCTCGCGATCCCGAGCTGTGGTTCCGCCAGGTGGAGAGTCAATTTGCGCTCTCGGGAATCACAAACGACGATACAAAATTTCATTACGTCACGGGCAACCTCGATGCCCGATACGCCGAGGACGTCCGCGATATATTGGTCGATCCACCCGAGACTGGAAAGTACCAGTTACTCAAAACGGAGCTCATACGCCGGCTCGGGACCTCACAGGAGAAAAAGACACGGCAGTTACTCGAACAAGAGGAGATGGGAGACCGAAAGCCGTCCCAGTTCCTTCGCCACCTGCGTGGGCTGGCGGGCACCGCCGTTCCGGACGAGTTGCTCAAAACCATCTGGCTAGGGCGAATGCCAGCGTCCATGCGGGTCATCCTGGTAACCCAGACGGAAGCCGGTTTGGAGAAGATGGCCGAGCTCGCCGACGCCGTCAGCGACGCCTTGCCTGAAAGGCACCAGGTCGCGGCCGTATCGACGGACTCGTTCGAGACGATGCTCGAGCGATTGACCGTCCATATCACCGCCAAAATGGGGGAGTTGGCGAATGGACTTCGCCAAGAGATCGCGGCGGTAGAGGACCGCGTGTCGGCTCGCGGTAGCCGATCGCGGGAGCGGCGTTCACCGTCCGGGCAGCGCGCGCGCAGCCGCGGTCGCGGCAAGGACGGCGTCTGCTGGTACCACTGGCGGTTTGGTGCTGACGCGACAAGATGCGAACCGCCGTGCAACTTCCGCTCGGGAAACGATCAGGGCGGTCACTAATGGAGGCAAGCGACCCGAGCCCTGCGTCCCTCCGCCTGTTCGTCACGGACAGAAATTCCAAGAAGGGATTTTTAATTGATACCGGCGCCGATCTCTGCGTTTACCCACGAACATTTCTACGCGGGCCGCGGGAGAAGTCAACGTACGAGCTCTTGGCGGCGAACAACAGCGTCATCGCGACTTATGGGACGATCACAATTACGCTCGACCTTGGGTTACGCCGGGCCTACACGTGGAGATTCGTCATCGCCGACGTGCCTAAACCAATCATCGGAGCGGATTTCCTGGCGTTCTATGGCTTGCTCGTCGACGTTCGTGGCCGCCGCCTAGTGGATCAGCTGACTTCGTTGACTGCCAAAGGTCATGTCGCAAAGGGTAACCTCCCCGGCGTTAAAACCATTGCTGGAACGTCGATCTATCACGAGCAGTTACAGAAGTTTTCTGAAATCACGCGCCCGGGCGGCGCCCCTGCTGAGCCGAAACATTCGACCCAACATCACATCCGAACGACACCAGGCCCCCCCGTGGCGAATAAGCCGAGGCGTTTGCCGACGGAGAAACTGCGCGCGGCCAGGAAGGAATTCGAGACCATGATCCAGTTCGGGACGGCACGACCATCGGAAAGCTGCTGGGCGTCACCGCTGCACATGGTCCCGAAGAAAGCCAGCGACGAATGGCGTCCATGTGGAGATTACCGCGCCCTCAACGCAAGGACCTTGCCGGACCGATACCCCGTCCGACACATAGAGGATTTCGCGCAGTCCTTACGAGGTAAAAGTATCTTTTCGACCATAGATCTAGTTCGGGCATACAACCAGATCCCCGTCGCGCCGGAGGACATAAAAAAGACGGCTATAACGACACCGTTCGGATTATTCGAATTTCCGTTCATGTCGTTTGGCCTGCGCAACGCCGCGCAAACCTTCCAGCGGTTCATCGACGAAGTCCTCCGAGGTCTGGATTTCTGTTACGCGTACATAGACGACATACTCGTCGCATCGACTTCCGAACGCGAGCACCTGCAGCACCTGGAGATCGTGTACGAACGGTTAAGGAAATTCGGAGTGGTTATCAACCAGACCAAGTGCGTGTTCGGGCAGGCGGAAGTTAAATTCCTTGGCTATCGAGTTTCCGCCGAGGGGACTCAGCCCTTGCCCGAGAAGGTCGAAGCCATCCGAAGTTACCCGCAGCCGACGACGGCGAAACAGCTGCGACAGTTCCTGGGTATGTTGAACTTTTATAGGAGGTTCATACCCAGAGCGGCTTACCTTCAAGCACCATTGAATGATCTACTCCAGGGGAATATCAAGGGCAAGACGCCCATCGCCTGGACTACATCGACACAGGCCGCTTTCGATGAATGCAAGGAGAGCATAGCACAAGCGGCTTTACTGGCTCACCCTGAACCGGACGCGCCACTCGCAATAGTCTCCGACGCCTCGGATTTCACAGTGGGGGCGGTCCTTCAACAACGAATCGGCGATAGCTGGGAACCATTAGCCTTCTTCTCCAAGAAGCTAAGTGGTGCCGAAAAGAAGTACGGCGCATACGACCGGGAACTCCTCGCTATCTACCTCGCCGTCAAACATTTCAGGCACATGGTGGAAGCTAGGACCTTCACGATCTATACGGACCACAAGCCGATCACCTTCGCTTTTCGACAGAAAGCCGACAAGGGCTCGCCCCGACAATGCCGTCACCTCGACTTTATCGGTCAATTCTCGACCGATATCAGGCACGTATCCGGTAAGGACAACATCGTCGCCGACGCCCTCTCACGCGTTGAAGGAATCGCAGCCTTGGACTACGAAGCTCTGGCAACATCACAGGAGACCGACGACGAGTTAAAAATCTACCGTAATGGGAGCTCGGCACTGCAGATAAAAAGGGTGCAATTACCGGGGACACCGGTGAGCGTGTATTGCGACGTGTCTTCAACAACAGCAAGACCGTTCGTCACCAAGCAGTTCCGCCGGGCGGCATTCGAATCGGTACATCAGCTCGCGCATCCGGGGATCAAGGCGACCGTCAAGCTGGTTACACAACGATTCGTTTGGCCGTCAATCAAATCCGACTGTCGAAGATGGGCAAGAAGCTGCATAGAGTGCCAGCGATCCAAGATAACTCGCCATGTTTCGGCGCCGTGCGGTACCTTCGCACCGCCGTCATCGAGGTTCGAGCACGTCCATCTCGACCTCATCACCATGCCCAGCTCGGAAGGCTACAGGTACTGCCTGACTTGCGTCGACCGATTCTCTCGATGGCCAGAGGTGATACCGCTCGTGGACCAGGAGGCCGTCACCGTCGCTCGGGCCTTCTACGAGGGCTGGATAGCTCGATTCGGCACCCCCCTCCGCGTTACCACCGATCAGGGGAGACAATTCGAATCGCAACTATTCAGGCAGCTTAGCGCGCTATACGGAGTAGCGCACCTCAAGACAACAGCGTACCACCCGGCGGCCAATGGGATGATAGAGCGACTACACCGACAACTCAAGGCAGCCATCAAGTGCCACGAGAAGGACCAATGGACAAAGGTCCTTCCCACCGTGCTGCTCGGCATCCGGGCTGCGTGGCGAGAGGATTTGGGAGCGACCGCAGCCGACCTTCTCTACGGCGAGTCAATTCGGTTGCCCGGAGAGTTCTTGGCTTCAAGAGCACTCCCAGAAGGCGATGCGGCCGAATACGTCAAAGAATTACGGCAGCACTTTCGAAGACTCCGCCCGACAAACGGCACCCGCCACGGCGAACGGCAGACCTTTGTGTTCAAAGATCTCAGTACGGTGGGCCAGGTATTCGTGCGCCACAACGCACCTGGAGGAACCCTGCAGCAACCGTACGACGGACCCTACAGAGTGGTCAGCCGCAAACCGAAAACATTCGTGGTTCACATCCGAGGTAGGGATGTGACCGTGTCTATCGATCGGCTGAAGCCCGCCTACATCATTTCAGAAGACGAGGAACCAGAGAAGGCTAGCTCGCCACCAATCGAGCAGCGGTTGGAGAACCCCCCAAGTTCCGGCACATCATTGCAACCGCCCGTGCCATCGGAGCTGGATAACCCTGAAAATTCAGCAAGGAGGACCGACCCACCAACCGCCCAGGAGCCGATCAAGACCGCTTTACGGCAAACCACACGATCGGGCAGACGAGTGCGATTCCCGGACCGACTTCAGGGCGGTTTCTCGTGATTAGGCAAATCACTAGCAGGGGGGTACTGTAGCGACACGTGCGCGCGGCGTCGCCCTCAGATATATTTTTCTTATCGAAAGAATAACAAACAATTAATATACGTATATTATGTGTTCTAATGTTCGTTAAATGCTTACAAGTTAAAATAATTAGACCGTCCATGTGAGCGTCACAGACATCCTTTTCACTCGTTCAACTGCACTGCATATTGTTAACATATGCACACATCTTTCTTCTAGCTTTTCGAAATATGAAACTTTGTCGTACCAGACATGCGAGTAATATACCTATGCCATTCAGGATTCTGTAAGCCAAGCAACGGTCTGAGGAGTCAGTCTCTTTTTACTCATCGACGCGAATACACCACGCTTTCGACTTCTGTCTAACAAAATAAAGTACCAGTGTTAGCACCAACCGAGTCGCCGTTATTACCGGACCACTCCTTACCCACAGTAATAATAATTGAGATATTAATGTTTGCAATTGTACTAATGAGAACCGACAGAAACGCTCTGGCCGCTTGGAGATATATCGGTCCACTTTTTCAAACATAGGCTGCGCCAGCAACGCGTTGAAGAGGTAAGAGAGGAAGCGCGCCGTTGCTTAACGCCCATCGCCGCTCACACGTCTCATCGCACCGCATCAAAGGATTCGCGCTGATAACCGCTACGCACATTTGCGATTACATTACATATGTAATCTCTGATTAACTTTTTACAAAGTTATAGAAATGTACATGGAAAGCCGTCAAATCTAAAAATTTTGTACAGACTTTACAAAGTTCCATGACCTAAATTAAATTTGCTTTTCTGTGGATAGTCTTACGATTTTTTTTTACCGAGTTATTCAACATTAAAGTAAAAGGTTCGTTTTCGTTTTAATGTTGAATAACTCGATAAAAAAATATTATATAATGCTTAACGAAAAGGCAAATTAAAGGTAAAGATTCGCTTTTTCAAACACTATTAAACAGAATTTGTTTGATTTTTAATTCAGGTTATAAAAAATATCAGGTTATAGTAAAATACGTACAAAATTTTTATAGAGATTTGAAAGTTATCCATTTACAATTCCTATAACTTTGTGAGAAATTAATTAGATCAAAATATCACTTTATCGGAAAGTAAAGAGACTTCAAGCTTTAAAATACTTTTTTTAAAATCTCGTAATAATTATTTTTGACGAAGTTACACTCTCTTGAACATTATCTATTTTTGGAGGACGTACTAAGTGATCCTTAAATTTTTTTTGTGTAATGTATTTGTAACATCAAATTCTTTTATCGTTCCTTACCGTTTCCTTTTCCACGAAACGTAAAAGTCTGTTATAATTAATATTCACGATTAATTCTTTATACGTTCTCCTTTCATAAGTATCTTATTAGAGAATTACAATGTACATGAAATACTTATTATGCGTAATATACTACTGTTACGTCCGGACTCCACGGTTCTTTTCTTCGACTAGAAACTTTCGTCATCACAAAAAATTAGTGACCAGTAGACCTTCCGTTACGGTAGCGACGAGCCAAATAACATTTTAAACTAATAACCCATTCGGGACAGAACCGTTGGGTTAGATATTGGAACCAAGTGCCAAATAGGCGAACCTTATCCCGAGGAACGGGAAGAACAAATAGATTAGGATTGTAAAATGTAACAGCAGCTGTGAGCAATAAATGACATGTGGCTCGAATCTATTGGACATCCGGCAAATGGTCGATGACGAAAGTTGTCTTAGACGCATACCCCTGTATCCCATTTTATAACCGATATCCCTAATTCTGGATTGGCCCAGCAGCACACGTG